TGAATTTACTCTGTAAATCTTCACCCAAATCCTAATAAAAAAAAATAAATTAAAAAAAAAAAAGATGAAAAATTAAAAATTAAGATCTTCACAGATGTACAAAAATAAGTCAACACAGACACACGCAATGTGTACAGGTCAAAGTCCCCTAGAAACCCTGTAATGGAAAAAATGAAAAACGTGAATGCCTAACTGCCATTTAGAAACTGCTATCAGTCGTGAACATAATTTGCATTGCTTTTCTCAATTTCTCCTAAGAAATAAGAACAGTGTGAAAGGAAGTCTCAAGAACCCAAACAGAACAAATGTCCCTGCAGGAGAGATGACTATGGTCTAAATACTAATCCCTGGGGTTTCTAAGGACTGCCAGATATGGGGTTAGCACCATAAACAGTGTCTTATCAGGATAACTCCAGTCAGAGGTAGTTCTTCATTGCTGCAAATCCAGGGGAAGAGAATCCAGGAGAGGAGGAGCTACGAGTGGCCGGTGGAGTCAGAACTTACAAGGGAAACTAACATGTCAATCCCCGTTTGCCTCTGTACCATCACTTTGTAAGCCCACGCGTCTACGGGATATGTCTACAGCGGTGGTTCTCAAAGTGTGGGCCCCAGATCAGCAGCATCAGCACCCCCTGGAAACCTGTTAGAAGTGCACCTTCTTGGGCCTCACCCCAGACGTGGTGAATCAGAATCTCTGGGAAAGGAGCCCAGCCACATGAGCCTTCACAAGCCTTCCAGAGGATGCCAACGCACGCTAACGTCAGAGACAGAGCGATCTCCAGGACCGTCAGGTAGCATCAACTACCAGACAGAATTCAGAGTGGCAACATTTTATATCACTTTGGATCATGCAGTATTAGTAGCAGTAGTATCACCCCTACATTTTAATATTTTTTATTCAAACAATGCTTTCTCAACATATCTAAGTGATGTGACTGACAATTATCCCAACAACCCAAAAATTTCACTCCACTGTTACGGCTGTAACAATGTGCTCACCGAGTCAGAACAGTAACATTTACATAAAGGATGGTAGTACACTCCCAGGCAAAGGGAACAGGCTGAGTGTACTGCCGTGTAAGTTGTCAGGTTGTAGGTTCCGTTTTTTAGTTCTTCCATCACACAGGATGCAAAACTTATGAGTAAAAACTAAAAAGGCCAAAAGTCATACACAGAGTATCTCTCCAGGTTTTCAATTCCCTACATGGAATTTTCCCCTTGGGGAGAAAACCCTGCCAAAGACACAGCTCCACTCCCCAGTTTGATTCCAACCACTAATAGGCATTAACAGTCCTTTGTAGAAAGAAGATAAAATACCTTTAAATTGCTTAATCATGTTCTGATGGTTTTCGATGGCTTCTTTTAAGATCATCTCAGGCCGGTCCATTTTCCACCGCCACTCAGTGCCCACTGGATTAGTGTGGTGCCTAGGAACAAGATGCAAAAGTTCTACAACACACCCTATGACAAGAGCTCAGCTAGTTACCTACTGTGGGGCAGTCCATAAAATCATAAAATCAGGGCTGTCTGTCCCTCAGTGCTCAGCTGTTTATATGTAACAGTGTTTGAAGGGATGACACCTGACAGAGGGGTAGACAGAGAAGTCATTCAACATTTCTACTGCCAGAGCTCCAACTGGGTCATCACCCCCATTATATGCTGGCGGGACACTCTGCTACCCTAAACCCCATCAGACACCTCTCATCACAATGCTACCACCATTGCCGTGTAAGGACATTTCACAGCGTGAGTAGGAAAACTAGAATGCTACGCTTGGCACTCGCACAGAAAAATTTTCAACAAAAGAGGGGTCAGCTTTCACCGAGCTCACGGGAGTGGAAATAATGATTCACTCTGTTCCATGGGGAAAAACTGCAGCCTTAGCAGCAGCCTACTATCCTATCTGTGGTCACCAGAACTGGAGAAGTTAAATCAGCACACTTAGGTGAAAAATGATGTTTGTTTCTGTAACTCTCCTTTGCATACATTTCTATGATGAAGCAAGTTCCATTCATAATGATACATCCTCTTATTGTGTGACTGCCCCATCACACTGGAGTACAATCTTGGATGCTGGCTCATCACTGCATCTCCCTGAGATGATGGATGCTACACAGAACGGAGGGACAGGGAGCTCTGGAAAAGCTGCACTCTTTAGGACCCTCTCAGGAGTATTTCTAGGTACCCGATGTTTTCACTTTCTTCAAGGGTAGCCATGAGGTGGAATTGACTCAATGGCAATGGTTTGGTTTGGGTTTTTTTACGTATAAGGAGTAATATTCCCTCATTATTCATTTTCCATTGTTCATTTTACCCGGCTATTACCAGTTAAAGAAAATGTATGTATTTTTATATAGTTATCCTGTGTCCAGCCACTTTCCTGAATTCCCTTATAAACGGTAAGATTTTTCCAGCTTTTACTGGATTTTCTAGTATACAGTCATAAATCACACTGTACTTTCCCCCTTTGCAATTTTTATTTCCTGTCTCATGACATTGGCCACAAAAATATTAATAATGATAAAATCAGTCATCCTTGTTAGGGTCTAGTATTCAATAAAAATATTTCTGAAGTTTCATCATTAAATATATTTACTCATACAAAATTAATTAACAAAATAACACATTCATGTGTTAGAAAAGATTAAAAAGTCTGATTGTTATATTAGTGAGGATATGGGAAAATATGCCCTCACACTGACAGAGCCAGAGAAAGAGTAACTCCTGGTGCAGGCTTGGGAAGGACAAGATACACCACCTGGAACCTTCTTTCCTATACCCCTTAAGAAACAAAAGCCACAATCTGTGGAGAAAAGAGCAAAGAACACTACTGCCCTTGAGGCACAGCTGAAGACCCGCGGTGGCTGGAGAAAGGAAACAGAAAAACCCTTCTTGTCTAGAGAAGGGGCCGGAGTAAGTGCCAGATCCAGAATACAGCCCCGAGAGGGGAAAGGACATGGAGAAGGCCTTGTCCCCACAATGCAAAGACACGGTCTGGCTAAAACTGAAGGTTAATGAAAATACATATTGGCACCACTCTGCACCATCCCCAGATCCCCAGCCACCTATCACCAAGCTAATGAGCATCACAAACAGTGAACAACAGAATGCTGCAGGAAAAGCTACAAGACCTCAGCCACAGACCCTACATCACAGGCAGTACCAGCATATGATCTAATGCTCAGCACAGATCAGAGCATGAGAGAAACACCTCTGGCAAACTAGCCCATGCTAAACACAAGCCACCAAATCCTCCAAGGAATCGGAAGCCTGTGCAGCACTACCGGGAACAAAATGCATCATACCTCAACCTGAGCTCAGCTCTCGACAAGATGAACTCAAACTCCAACAACACAGATCTGGCGGAAGGGAAGGTGTGCCCATTTCCTTCAGTCCCTACTGTCCGAAACAGGAAGTCGGACTTGTGGCAAAAACAAAACATTACAAAGCATACAAGAAGGCAAAACACACACTTCCAATACACAAAGCAAGCAAGAGAACCAAAGTCAGGTATGACACAAGGATTAGAATGGTATGACAGGGAATTTTGAAACCATGATTAATATACTAAAAGTCCTACAGAAAAGGCAGACAATATGCAAGAACAAATGGGTAAATTCAGCAGAGAGACAGTAAATTTAAGAAAGAATCACATGGAAATGCTGGATATGAGTAACACACACCTCCAGCAAGAGCCCTGGTGGCACAGTGGTTAGCACAGCAGTTCGAATGCACCAGCCACTCCCCAGGCGAAGATGTGGCGGGCTGCTTCTGTAAAGACTACACCCAGCCTTGAGGTAAAAACTTCCTTGACAACAATGGATTTCTTTGGTTTTCGTTTTTTGACAGGCTCATTAATAGACCAGAAATAGCTGAGGGAAGAATGTAAAACCTGGAGAAGTCAATACAAATAACTCAACTGAAACGCAAAGATAAATGGGGGGAGAAAACAAAACAGACCATCCCAGAGCTGTGAGAAAATAACGAAAGGCCCAAAATACATGTAACTGGTACCCAGAGGGGAAAACACAGGGAGACCAAAGCAGAAGAAACAGCTGAAGAAATAATAGCCAACACATTTCCTAACTGACAGACAACAAACCACAAAACCTAAGAAGCTCGGTGAACCAGCGCCCTACCTGTGCTCACCACAGAGCCAGCCACACCAGCAAGCACGACTAGATTTGCCGGAAATGAAGCCAGGTTGCTGGTGATCCTCAGCTGCCGCTGTTCAAAGCTGGACTCGGAACTTCAGTATTCTGCCGAGGAGTTCACAATCACGCGCATGGGAAACTGCCTCGTCGCTGCTATTTTTCACGCGGTCTTCTCTCGGCTGGTATGGAGGTTAGACCAGCTTCCTGAAGTGAGTTGGGAAGTGTTCCTTCCTTCTGTGCTCTCAAGAAGAGCTCCTTATCCTTGAGTGGTTGCTAGAACTTACTTGTCAAACCATCTGGGCCTGGTTTCTTCCTGATGTTTCTACCTACTGACTCAATCACTCTAGCGATTATAGGACTACAGGCAGTCCCCAGGTGACAAACCCAATTTACCTGACTTAGGACCAACCAGAGGAGCTCTGGTGGCATAGTGCCTAAGGAAGGCACTTGACTGCTAACCAAAAGTATGGTGGTTCAAACCCAGCAGCCACTCCTTGGAAGGAAGGTGGGGCAATCTACTTCCGGAGTGATACCGCCTCGGAAACCCAAGGAGGGGTCACTATGAATCAGATCCGACTCAGGATCTGATCTGACTCGATGGTAAATAACAACAACAGGAGCAACCAGTACTACTGGCCTTTAATGTTATATAAATTTGTCCACACTCTGAAATGACACAACCAATTCCTACTGGCAACAAATTCTGCATCACAAGCACCTTCACCTGCTGTACACGCGCTTTTAAACCACTGTAAAGGCTCTGAGCTATTTCTTACACTAACCCAAAACCCACCACCACCGAGTCATAGCAACCCTGTAAGACAGACCCTAAAGGACAGAGCAGAACTGCCCTGTAGTGTTTCCAAGGCTGTAAATCTTTACAGAAGCTGACTGCCTCATCTTACACAGAGGGGCTGGTGCGTTTGAACCACTGACCCTTTGGTTAGCAGCCCAAAGCTTTAACCACAGCACCACCAGAGCTCCTGTCTTGAACTAAAGTAAGTCAAAATAAGAAATGTTTTGACAAGTAAGTTCTAGCAAACATGCATCTGTTCCAACTTACCTACAGATCTGACTTAAAGACACACTTAGGAACAGAGCTCCGTAGCAACCCAGGGATGCCTATACTGTATTCAGACCGACATTCTCTATGGATCACTTTCCCTAATCCACGCTGACCACCCCACATCAAATAGTCATTAATGCTCTTTTAATTTCTAAAATCTTTGCGGCATCTCTCCTTTGCCTTGATCTTACAAACCACTTTCAATAAAACGTCTATAAATTTCTATTGTATCTGATTCTACCTCCAAACGTAAGTACTTAATGCCTACTCACCAATCCTTTTTAAAAAAAAACTTGAAAGAGGTGTGGGATTTAGTCTGGTTTTCTGTTTGGTATTTAACTTCTACCAGAGCATAAGAGCAAACTAAAAACTGGGTGAAGGGGGTTGTTGAAGGTCATTTGCCTTAAAATTAACTACCAATCACATTCAGGCAAAATGAGTTGGAGGTAACTGTGACTGTGGGTACTAGTCTTACGAGGATCAAGGAGAAGAAGGCAAAATGAGTCGGAGGTAACTGTGACTGTGGGTACTGGTCTCACGAGGATCAAGGAGAAGAAGGCAAAGAGCCAAAGGAGCGTGAAGGAGACAAATGTTTGGAGAAAACTTTAGTTCAAGCAAAAATTATCAAAATGAAAACAGTACTTTGCAGCTGAAATTACATGATGAGCCAACTGAACGTACAAAGCGAGGAAGTGTTTGGGGATGGAATGCTTCTCAGCAACAACTTTCAAACAAAATGCCCTTTGAGCACGCGCCTCCCCTTCTGCCCTCCAGACGCTGCTGACCTCACACAGCAGGTGAGAAAACCTGCTCCTACACCTTCATGCTGATGTGACAGCATCGCTAAAAAGTGGGGGACCACACAGAACACCACAGAGTCTGCAAGCACATACGAGTGCAGTGTGTGTCTATGTGCAGGGGGTGCCTGTGTGCCTGCTTGCAAACATCTTCACACATACACTCATTTGCATACATATCAATTTCACCGCGAGTTTCCCAGAACATGTGCCCCAGTGGCAACATCATCTCACACTCCCACCAGCAGGGTCTGAGCTTCCAATCCCTCCCCAGCCTCACCCATACTTGTGTCTCTTTGATCAGGTGGCCCTCTGAATCCACGGGTTCCACATGCACAGATCCAACTGAGCAGGGATAGAAAATATGTCAGAGAAAAAAAGCAGTGAAGTGGTCAAAGCAATCCCTAAAA